TTTTAATCTTGATCGCAATTTAATCATTTCATTTAAATAAACGCGGCAAAACGTATTTTTGATTTATTTTATTTTACTTTTAATTCAACAATTTAATATTTTTAGGAAAATCCAATCTTATGGATGCTATTTCATTTGTTTTGGGAATTAAATCGGCACAATTACGTTCTTCACAGCTTCGAGATCTTATATATCGAGGCCGAGCCATGCAAGACGAAGATGAAGGCGACGATGGTATGGCGCTTGAATGGCGTGCAAATAATCCAAAGCGGGCATGGGTGATGGCTGTCTACAAAGATGATAACGGAAATGAAATAAAATTTCATAGAAGGTTTTTATAAGATAATTTCCTTGCTAATGTGTAAAAACGCATATAATACAAATTATTTATGTAATTCACATAGCATAACGTCGTCTGGAACAAGTGAATACAAAATTGACAACAAAGTTGTTACCTATGCAAAATATAATCAAGCCTTAGAACAACAAAATATATTGGTAAAAGCGAGAAATTTTCTTGTATTTCAGGTATTAATTTTATTTCAATTAATAACGAAACTTAAAATTGACAAAATACCACCCTAATTTAGTCTATGAAATTTATATAATCTAATAAGGGTGATGTAGAGGCTATCGCATCACAATCCCCAAAAGATTTAACTAGATTGATCGAACAAATCAGCGGGTAGGTAATGGCCTAATACGCTTGATCTTAGTAAATGAATATGGTTACGATTTGCTAAAATAAATTACGTTCGAAAGATCATTGGAATTAAAGGCTGATTATGAACAGTTAAAAATCCAGCAAGAACGCGCAACTGAAAATTCAGCATTCAACTTTAACAAAAAACGCGGGATAAATCAAGATATACAAGAATATCAGAGGCAAAAGGCCCAGGCACAGCAATTTGAAAAACTACAGAATGAAAAAGTGAGTGCAATAATTATTTTCACAGAAAATATGGGCATCATGTAAATTATTTAATATCAATCTCTTCCATGATCAGATGCGAATTTTAGTGGATTATCTTTTATGGAAGCTCTATCATATACAAGGAAATATTGATGAATGTCGTGAACAGATAGATAGTCATAATGAAATTATTAGAGAAAAACAGCAAGTACAGGTAAGCATAATGCTTAACTTTTCTTGCAAACATCCTACTCTAACTTTGGACAAAAATTTTCTTTTAGAAAAAATATGATGCAGATCACAAACAAGCTCGATTGGAACAAGCAGAAATTCACAAAAAACATTATAGGATGGAGAAAGAGATCCAATTGAAAGAAAAAGAATTAGAAGAAAAGGTTCCTTTTCGTTAATAACAAACTTGGTCATATCTGTTATTACCGGTTTTTAATTTTTATAGCATTTTCCCTCCTTGTTGTTGACAGCGCCCGGTGCTATTAAAGATGGATGAAAAAATCACCTATTCTAATAGAAAATTAACTCAAATGGAAGAAAATGCTGAGAGAATTCGAAAAGATTATGATCGTCAGGTGCGCAATTGATTGTTTCGAATTATGAAAATGATTTAATTAACGATTATATATGCTATAAAGTCGAAAAGGGTAGAAGAATTACAGCTAGAATTAGAACATGTCACGAGAGCTGAAGATGATTATGAAGGTATCACGGTGTAAATTGTGATTAACAATATTTCAAATAGTTTGAAATTAACAATAATGATCTATATATAGCATCATTAAATGCTGACAGCAGTAGCAATAAGAAAAACGCAATACTCAACACAGATGAAATTGCTGAATATAATAGATTGTAAATAATCTTTTGGTGATTTAAATTATTAAAGGATAATGATATATGACAATGATTACTTAATATTATATATTTTACTGTTTACCGTAGGAGAGAACAGGCAAACAAGCAAACAGTTTACGAAAAACAACAATTAGAAAATCTCCGCAGACAAGAAAAGACATGTCGTGAATCTACACAGAGATTGAAAGAGAAGATGGAGGATTTGGATAGACGTCGAAATCAACTAGAGGAAGAGAAATTGGCTCTTACGGATCATAAAGAGAAGGTGTTGATGTAATTCTATATGTTGCTTATTTTAAATTCACAAATACTAGAATGCTATAATATTTGATATTTAAAATTAGGTATCTGCTAACGTGCTGCAGTTACAATCCGATATTGATCAATCTAAAAAAGAACTTCACGCTGCTGCTACAGAGCGTGAATCTATTAAGTAAGCCTGTGATTTTTATTATTAAATATAATCTTGAATTATTTATAATATCATTTTCGTATATGTAGCCAACAAGAAATTCAGCTAAATCGTGAATTACAAGAAATACTCAATCAACTTACTGTGGCAAGTGTAGACCAGAGAGAATCAGAACGAGAACAAAGAATGAAAGAATGTTTAGAAAGCTTGAAGAGAGTATTTTCTGGTGTGCATGGACGTCTTCTTGATTTATTTTCTCCTACTCAGAGAAAATACGCAGTACCTGTATCTATCATCCTTGGAAGGAACTTGGATGCAATTATTGTTGATCAACAAAAAATTGCTATTGAATGCATACAGGTTTGGACAATATCCTGCCTTTCTCGATTTATGTTATGACGTATATATTAAAATTAAATTTATGATCATTACGAAAAAGTACATGAGAGAACAACGTCTTGGTCATGCTACATTTATCCCACTTGATACAATTGTAGTCAAATCAATAAATGACAAATACCGTAGTATCATGAAGGGCGCAAGATTAGCAATAGATGTTATTACCTACAATGATAAACTTGAACGCGCATTTCAATATGCCTGTGGCAATACTTTAGTATGCGATACATTAGAAATTGCTAAACACATATGTTACGAAAAAAACCAGCAAGTCAAAGGTATTGTACAATGCAAAACGGTCTTCGTAAGATTTTTGCCACTATTTTGGTGATTTAATATATTTCTATATTTTATACAGCTGTCACCCTTGACGGTACTATTATTCATAAAAGTGGGTTAATTACCGGTGGTCATAGTGATGATATTATTTCTGGTGCAAAACGAGTAACCGAAAAAAAACGTGCAGATAGTATGGATGGTGAGTCTTATTATTAATTTCTTAGTGAGTAATGCGATAGTTCGTAATTCGAACTTTTATTTTTCTAGCATTAAGAAGTCAGAGAGATGATCTTATGTCAAAATTGAATAATCTCAGCAAATCAAAGAGAAGAGGAAATTTTGAAGAACAAAAAAAAAGTGAGATTTCTGGCTTAGAGTCAAGGCTGGAATTTTCTCAACAAGATTTGGTAATTTGATTCTCTTGTCAGAAATTCAATAAATTTTTGCAATTAATTGCATCTTTGACCAATCTAAAATTGAACATAATAGACAATATCCACAGCAAAACTTGCAGCTATCAATGACGAATTGATTTTTATTTCAAACGAAGCTGCACAACTTTTGCCAACTTTAGAAGAGGTTTGTTCTAAGTCATGTGAACGAATTTGAATGTATTATCAACTTTTTATGCATAAGAACTTTGGCATTTAAATTGTAGTCACAAAACGAACTTGTTGGTCTCGATGCACAAGTTAGTCAATGTGAGAATAACATAAACGAGAAAGAAGATTCTATTTTTCAAGAATTCTGCCGGAAGATCGGAGTTTCAAACATTAGAGATTATGAACAACGGCAATTAAAAATGGCTCAGGAGATTGCAGAAAAAAGATTAAAATTTACAACCCAAAAATCTCGGCTTCAAAATCAGTACGCGCAGTATTTTATTCAAATTTTAATAATGCTTGTTCGTGATTTAAACATTCCATAAACTTTCCTGTTTCAGATTGAAATTTGAAACAGAACAAAAAAAAGAAACAGAGGATCGATTAAATAGACTCGAATCAACTATTCAGGATGAATCAGATAGACTCTCCCAATTCGAAGACGAAAAAAAACAATTGTTAGATGATAAAAAACGTATTTCGGATGAGATTTCTGAAAAACAAAGGGTTCTCAGTGAGATTAAAAATGAACATGAAGTTAAGACTGCTGCAGTCACTTCTTCAAAACGACAATTGGTACAAATATCTAAAGAAATTGACAGATTGATGAAAGAAATTGTTAGCAAGGTATGAATTTAACAATTGATAATATTTCTAAAAAAAAGTTGTCCGTATTTACGTTAATTTTGCTGCTTACAGGAATCGGACATTGAAAAGCTGGAAGCTGATCGATTCTCGATATTTCGCAAATGTAAATTAGAAGAAATAGACATACCACTTTTGAGAGGATCTCTTGATGATGTCTTAACGAAAGATTTGGTCAGTTATAATGACAAATTTATTGTACATATGTTATAACATATCTATAAATTTGGTTGTCTTTACAGCGAAACTCGGATAGTGATTTAATGGATATTGATGACGAAGATATCTATTCAAGCGATCACGCCGGACCCAGCACAGGTGGTGCTTCAAGAATTG